AACTCATACAAAGAACCCTAACATATAAACAAATAAAAGACAACAGTCAACTCAGTAAAAAGAAAAGTAGCCAGGTATGGTGGTGCATGCCTATAATCCCAGCACTTGGGAGGCTGAGGCAAGAGGATCACCACAAGTTTGAGGCCAGTCTGGGCTACAAAGTGAGTGCAAAGCCAGCCTGGACTACACAGGGAGAATCTGTCTCAAACAAAAAACAAATAAATAAATATAAAGTATCTTTAAATCTTTAAACATTTAAAGAAATCAGAGAAATCATCCACTGCCAATCAGAAAAAAATGTAAATACTATGCTACTGCTCAATAAGATAAACATCATCCACGGTTTATACATTAAGAGAGTATAAATAAAGGGGCCCTTTCTGGAGAACAGTTTGGAAATATGTATCAAGAGCTTACAAAGGAAAAAACAAAAAGAGCTTACAAAGGGACTTGGGGTGTAGCTCCACAGCAGAGCGCTCTGCCTAGTACATGCACGGCCCCAGGCTGGATCCCCAGCACTGCTTTTAAAAAATCTAAACAGGGGCTGGGGATTTAGCTCAGCAGCACAGCGCCTGCCTGGCAAGCGCAAGGTCATGAGTTCGATTCCTGGTACCGGAAAAAAAAACAAAACCAAAAAAAATAAAAATAAAAAATCTAAACAGCTTTAGAGCTGGGAGTGTACAAGTGGTGTAACACTCAAACCTGAGCGTTCAATTCCTAGCCCTGAGTTCAATTCCTGTCACTGCCAAGAAAAGAAAAAGAGCTTAAAAGTATTCATATCTAGTAATTCCAATGATTTCAGAAAGAAATTTGAAATGTAGAAAGAATCTTAAGTTTATTGTCTTAATAAACAATGTGTAGGTTCAGTATTAGAAAAATAAATAATTTTATAAGCTATAAAATAAAATCTTAGCTGCTGCTTCTCTACTTCTATGCTTTGCTGCCTTCTGCCTGCCATAAGCTGTTTCTGCTCTGTGATGCCCCTCTGGCGTGCTGCCCTGCCATGGAGCCAGCCAACTACGCACTGAAACCTCTACAGCCTATGAGCTACAATAAACCTTTCCCCCTCCTTTAAAAAAATAAAGTAAGATGAAATTTCTTTTTCTTTTCTTTTTGAGACAGGGTCTCACTTTGTAGTTCAGGCTGGCTTTGAACTTACTTTGTAGCCCAGCCTGGCCTCAAACTCACAGGGATCCTCCTGCGTCAGCCTCTCAAGTTCTGGGATTACACATATGTGTC